GAGGTCAGGGAGATCATGGGGGACCAGAGCAGGTAGGCCTTGTAAGACTTTGTCTTTTACTAGAGTGAAAGAGTTCGGAGAAGAGAAGTGATATAATCTGACTTGCATTTTAAAAGGACTGCTTTAACTGCTATTTTGAGAAGACTGTATTTTGGCAAGGGTAGAAGAGAACAATTAGAAGGTTACTAGAGTAATCTAGGCAAGATGTTAGAGGCGGTCCAGATCAGAGTGGCAGTAGAGTGGATGGTGAGAAGTGGTCAAATTCTGAATATATTTGGAAGGTAGTGCCAGTAAGGTTTCCTGACAAATTAGATAGGGTGTGAGAGAGAGATAGGAATGGAGGATGATTCCCCAATTTTGGGGGGTCGGAACAACTAGAGTCCATCAACTGAGATAAAAAGGCTAGAGGCAGAACAAATTTGAGAGGGAAGTTAGGGAGTTCATATTGGACATGTTGAGTTTGACATATCTGTTAGACATCAAGTGGAGATGTTGAATAGGCAACTGGATATGCCAGTCCAAAATTCAGGAGAAAAGTCTAGACTAGAGATATACATTTGGGAATCATCATCACACAGATGGAAATTATCCATCAAAACTTGAACAGTGCTTTGATCCAGTAATTCTTCTCCTATCTATCTTAAAAGAACGTTTGAATAGTTTCACAGAAATGAAAGCACACACTTTGTTTGAAATAGACACAAATGGGGAAATCTAAATCCTATCAAAGGGGAATATCTAAATAAATAATTATGATACATTCAAACTAGAAAACATTCTGAAGCAGTTAAAAAGAATAAGTTTTATCTATATGTACTAGTAGGAAAAGAGACCCAAGACAATTTATTAAATGAAAAAGCAACAAGAAAAATACACAAAGTGTGACCATTTATGTTAACAACAAAACAAGCAAGCTAATATATTGGTGAGATGAGAAAGAGACAAAGGCATGGAATGGGGAAATGTTGATAAAGGCACCCTTCACTTTTTTAAACTATGTAAGTCTATACTGATTGAATTTTTATGAGTTTGTTCATGTATTACTGGTATACAATATACCAATTTAAACTTAAAAATCATGGCAGTACAAATAAATCCCTCTCAAGAAAATTAAAAATCAAATCCATACAGAGAAAGGCCAATCATTTTTCTAACCACTTAACTTAAAAAATTACTCTAGGGGCCGGCCCCGTGGCTTAGCAGTTAAGTGTTTGAGCTCCACTACTGGCAGCCCAGGTTCAGATCCTGGCACGCACCGACGCACCGCTTGTCCAGCCACGCTGAGGCCGCATCCCACACACAGCAACTAGAGGGATGTGCAACTATGACATACAACTACTTACTGGGGCTTTGGGGGGAAAAGGGGAAAAAAAAAAGGAGGCGGATTGGCAACAGATGTTAGCTCAGGGCCGGTCTTCCTCAGCAAAAAGAGGAGGATTGGCATGGATGTTAGCTCAGGGCTGATCTTCCTCACAAAAAAAAAAAAAAAAAAATTACTCTAAATATTTTTCATAATTTTTATAACATTTGAGTTTTAATTTCAAATAATAACTATTCTATGATTTTAAGATGTTTAACTATACATATTCACACATTCATCTGACTTACTTCTTTCTGGAATCTCTCCAATGTAAGTTTTCTCTGCATTTGGTCTTGCACCCAAGGATCAGCTGCATATTCAGATTCTAGAAGAGAAGTCCAACAATTTGCTGCATCTCTCTTTGTCTTTGTAAGAACAATACGGACCATTTTTCTGTCTTCTGAACAAACAAAAATCACAAAAAAATTAAAGTTCATCATTAAATTTTTTATTTTCAAAAACCATGATGTATTCTTGACATACAATTGTTTTCAGTACATTTCTATTATTATATCTTCCAAAGCTGCAAAGACAAAGGACCTAATACAACAGGGGAAACGTACTAAGTTCTAAGACTAAATTAATTTTTAAAAAGATTCTAAGAATTACAATAAATTACCCTTACCCAAAGTCCATGTTGCCTCATCAGCTATTGTAGAATCAAAGAGTTTGCCCTGAAAAATAAACATATAAAGCACTAAAAATACAGTCATTTCATTAATTTTTATAAAGCTCTCATGATTTAAGACTTACCTAATTTCCTATCTAATCCACATATAATTTTCTAATTTGGTTAGAACAGAGAGATCAAATTTCGTACCATTTTAACACACTGATAGGTGTTCAACTCTAAGTTTCCTCCTAGCAAGTGAAATGGAACCTAGTTTACAATGCTTGGAATATTTACTATGACAAAGAACACAGGGCTCTCTAAAAAAAGATCAGGACTTCTTAATTTTTAGAAGATAAAGAAATATTACTGATCACTGATTAGCCAAATGTGAAATTAATATCTGAAATACTTTAACTTTACCAATTAAAATGAACTACAGGGGCTGGCCCGATGGCGCAAGCAGTTAAGTGCGCGCACTCTGCTGCAGCGGCGCAGGGTTCACCAGTTAGGATCCTGGGCGCGCACCGATGCACCACAGCACGCCATGCTGTGGTGGCGTCCCATATAAAGTAGAGGAAGATGGGCAGGATGTTAGCCCAGGGTCAGTCTTCCTCAGCAAAAAAAAAAAAAAAAAAACAACAAGAGGATTGGCAGATGTTAGCTGAGGGCCGATCTTCCTCACAAAAAAATAAATAAAAAATAAAATGAAATAAAATGAACTACAAGAGCTCTCCTACTGAAATTAAGAAAAAAGGATGTCTTTCAAAATAAATTTTTAAAAACGGGTTCAATCTCTTTGTCGGGCAATTGGCATTTAAAAAATTTTAAAGCACATACTGCAGATATGATGTCAGATTAGTTGTGACTGATTTTTCAGAATCTCTTAAGAAATAAGCAAAAAAAATTTTTTTAATTAAAAAAAAGCAAAATGTAAGTTTAAAAGACAATCCATCTGCTCAAATCCATTTTGATTTGTTGCTACTTGCCAAATTTAAGTTTTAGGAAATTAAATTAAAATGTCACATAAAAAAAGAATACTCATTTTTTCATATGTCAATACTAGTAAAAAAAATCTTACTGGTCTAAATGTACACCTATAATCCTAGAGTTAGAGTTAATGCTAAATTTCCAAAGTTATTGGAATTACTAAAGTAAATGTGAGGTGTAATCTTGAACCACTGTTCAGGAAACTATGAAATGCTCAAATATTCAGAAAGATCATTAAGATCCAAGTTGACATAAATCAGTCTTTCATACGACTCTTCCTTTTGCAGGAGGCAAAGCACTTCCATATAAAATAATAATAGCTAACATACAGTGGTCACGTATTAAGTACCTGGCACTACTCCCAGCTCTTCATTCACATGGATACCATGTTATGCCCACAACAATCCTGAGAAAGGTACTATAATTACCGCACTTTGTGGATGAAGGATTAGAGACACTGAATAATCTCTTGCCCAAGGTTACAAAACTAAAAAAACGGCAGAGCCAGATCTCCTACCAAGTAGTCTCCCTTCACCACTATACTGTCCTCCAACATCTTGGGCATCTAATCCGAGCAAGATATCTAACTTCAACTTAATTGAATTTAACTATAAAGCTTAACAAGGACAAAACGGGTCCCAGAGCCAAAGGGCACTGTGAGAACAAAAGGGGTATTAATTATTTTCTTCACACACATCTTGACCACATGCTTAACTGCTCCACGAATACGCAGAATTTTTCTAATTTTAGATGAGAAAATCACCTGACATCATCTCTGCAATCTTCATCCCGATATCCTTAATTTTCTTCTTTACTTTCCTATAACTGCCTAAATATGTATTAGTTTAATTATGCCTCTCTACAAGAATATAACCTCTGCAAGTACAGGAACCTTATCTGTCTCGCGCACCTAGATCAGTGCCTGGAAGCAAGTATATGTACGATAAAATTTGTTCCTTTAACGACCTAGTTAAGTTGTTCTCAGCTAAAGACCCCCAGAGGAACAAAAGCAGCAGCTTCATCTGGTTTAGAAATAAAGCCAGAAAAATGGGCTCCTCAAATTTCCACGTCAACTGAGGACTGGCCCTGAGGGTGGGGGCTCTAACCAGATCAAAACCAAGCCAATTTTCTCTCTTTCGGCCACTCACAGGAGCCGTAAGGCTTTCCAAGTCTTTCCACGAAAACCATGAATTTTAGGACTCGGGGATTCAGCGAGCCGGGGAAGAAACAGCACAAGCCCCGAGCTGCCGCTACCTTGAGGATCTCGCGGCCACCCACGGCCAGAGCCACATGCCGGCTCTGCAGGCCGCACTGGATATCCTGGGCGCGAGTCCCTGGCGGCACCTGAACTTCAATGAACACCTCCTCCAAGGTCTGGTACCACTGGCCCCACGGCGTCCCGCACGGAACCACCCCGCTGCGTTCCTCAAACGGGACCGACATGCTTCAGTTGCCTCCTAGCTGCAGCCGCGCCGTGCGAGCTGAGCGCATGCGTGAAATCTCCACGGTCAGGCCACGCCCCGGCCTCGCCGCTCGGGGCACTGCACATGCGCAGGGATGTGAGCTGAAGTCAGCCTGTATGTTTGTTTTTCCCTTTCAATGGCCTTTTAGGCCAAACTGGGAAGGCCCCAGTTTGAAAGAACTGAAACCCAGAAAAGTTTACATTCAAAGAAGGGTGAGAGAGCGTTAGAACCACTTAAGCTGGAACTCAGTGCACTGTCACCTATATGACGCCAAATGCAAACGTGAAAACTTCTCAGGTATGAAGTGCGCTTGCGCAAATGCTGCTAAGCGCGTGAGTTACAATTGAATAAAGCCAGGAGCGATTGGACGCGCGGCGGGAGGCGGGGGAAACACGACAGAAGTAGTCTCCTATTGGCTGGTAGCCTAAACTCACGGGCTATCTGATAGGACTCGGCGAGAGCGGAGTGCGCTCGCTCTTTGGATGTTCCCGTCCTGGATTGGTGTGCCCAGGGTTTTGGTTTTCCAATTGGCTAACGTCGGAATGGGCGAGGAATGAGCGGCGAGATTTGAATTTGAAGCGATTAAGTCCGTAATAAGCCGCAGGAAGTTGCCGAGGAACGCTAGTCACCTTCGGTCTGTGGAGCTGGTCGTCAGCATGTCCTTTCCTAAGGCGCCCCTGAAACGATTCAATGACCCTTCCGGTGCGTACGGGGAAAGGAGCTGGGGGACGGGAGATGATCTCACGCCCCTTGCCCCTCTCGGTGTTCCCTTCATCATAGGCATATTGGAGGCGATTTTAGAGCTGGGATGGGGCTCATTAAATTGATTCATTTTTCTGGAATAGGTACTAAGCGTTTAGTACATGCCAAGCACAATTTAGGATGATAAGGATAGAGCAGTGAGCGAAGCAAAGTCCCTGCCCCATGGAGCCTACCTTCAGTTTAGAATACAGCCAGTAAACAAGTAGTGCTGTGGAGAAACTAAACCAGAGGGAAAGGAAAGGGGCCACGAAGCATTGGTAGCTATTTGATGGTCAAATCCGGAAGGCCTCACAGATAAAAAAACGTTTGACCATTGCTTTTCGTCTGAACTTGTTTATTTCTTTTCGATAGTCCATTCGGACATGAAAGAAGGAAGACTGGTACAGGTAGTTTATGGGTGTAAAATTAAAGCAGTAGCATTTACCGAACACACTATAATTTAAGTAGTGGCAGCTACTATTGATGGTACCCCAGGCACCATACTGTCTTGACATTGATTATTAGTCCTTTTTAAATTCCCCAACATCCCTGAGAGGTAATCCTATTATTCATTATTTTATTGATAAAAAGACTGAGACTTAGATTTGCTCAATATTAACCAACCAAACTGGCAGAACTGAGGCGTGAAACTGGGTGCCCGTGTATCCTGTGCTCTTAACCACTGCAATGCATAAGCACAGTAACCAGGAAGACTGGATGTGGTTAGTAAGGCACTCATCATTAATTAGATGCTAACTATATGCAGGGACTGTGCTAAGTTCTTCCCTTCTAGATCTGGTTTATTTTTTCCAACAGCCAGGTGAGGAAGAGACTAATACTGTCCTCATTTTACAGATGAGGTTTAGGGGTTTTGTAACTGTACTGAGCAGCCAGTAAGTGGTAGAGCTGAACATTAAAGCCCATGATTTATCCATTCTAGTATACACTTTTTAACAGTCATTCATTACGTCTTTAATTTCTATCAGCTGATATGCGGATAGAAATGAGCGTCACTCTGCTCACAAAGGAAGGCCAAGTGGGCAATGGATCAACCAAAGCTTGTTTTTTAATTAAAAGTCTCAAAGACCTAGTTATTTCCCAGCTAGTCAAAGAACCTGCTCTAAGTTCCATCAGTAGTGTGTCTTTTAAGGTGATTTTTTTTTTCTTTTTGCTTTATAGTAGATTAAACTGGCTTTACCAGTGACACAATATTTCAGGCTCACAGTCTCAGGAGTAGTAACAGTTATCACTTATTTGGTGTATGTGTGAGGCACTGTAGTGATTTCTCATGTTACTCCAGTAATCCTAACGACCATGCTGAGGTAGACGCTATTTTTTTATTCCTGTTTCCTGAATGAAGAATCAGCCTCAAATAGAAATAACTTTCCAGGGTCTTAAAGCTAGACTGGAAAAGGAGAGAGTATAATGGTCTTATTTACCAACTTCTCCCTATGACAACAAATTACCTGGCGCGTAGAAGTATCTCTATTGATTGGCAGACAAAGCTGGATTTGAACCCTGATCTGGCTGATTACAAAACTCTACTCCCATCCCTACATCCCCAACGACTTTCTTCTGTTTTCTTCACCACACTGCCAAACTCAACCATGAGCTAAATACTGTGGATACAGACATAATTAATACAGTCCCTAACTTCAAGCAGTTTTGTCTAATGTGGGAAATGGATAAGTACATTATTATAAGCCATTACAAAACTATGAGAAGTTCTATGATAGGAACAATATGTGCAGGCTGCTATGGAGGGAGGTTTCTAACCTGATTTGGGATTTCAGAGAAAACTCAAAGAGGTGACATCCAGACCGATCTGAAGGATAACTGAGAGTTAGCCAGGCAAAATGAAAGGTGGGCTGTCCATTCTAGGTGGGAGAAATAGAAAATAAAGAGGTCTGGAAGTTTGAAGCATTTCTTTAATGCATAAAATGTTTTGTTTGCATGCAAGTGTTGGCTGCCTGTGTTAGCTTCCAGTCATTGTTGACCAAGATATAAGTTGTTCCAGAAAGCTTGCGATATTTCCCAAGATATCCTATTTCTTTTGTCTGATGTTCCCTCTCCCCAGATTTCTAACAAGTCATATCTATAATGTCATACATTGAATTGTTACTAAGGAAAAGACCTTGAAAATGGCATGTGCCACAGTCTCACAAAGAGTTGATAGGTATACAGCCTGAATTTCAACCTAGTTCTTCTTAAATCTAAATCTCCATAACTATCAAATTTGACTCTTGAGTCTTTAGGGAAGAGTTTTTGTTAAGTATGGTTTTAGTTGTTGTCAGCTTGCTTGATGCTTGGTCACTGTCCACTATCCCATCTTTTGCTGGCCTTTATCCCCTTTTGAGAGTGTGGACCTGATGATGAACTACAATACTAGAATTCAGTATCATTTTATTTTCTGGCTGCTCTGCCAAGTCTAAGGCATTGCTTCCCACGCTTTTCCACAGAAGCATCCCTAAGAGCAGAGAGCAAAGGAGAATAACCATTGTCTCTGCATCCCTTCGCTCCTACTTCCCCAAAACAGTATAACTAACAGTAGTGGTGACAGTTTTCTCTGAAGCCTCCTGTTTGCTTTAAAATATAATATGTTCCCCACTGCCTCCCCGCACCTCTAATCCCAAATAAGTAAAATAGATACTCTAAGATGTGCCAGCCTTAACCTGATTTTAGGGAAACCCCTGTCACCTAACTATTCACCCCAGGGTGTAAATAGTTGGTGAGGTCTGAGAAACCTGTGCTAACCAAGATTAATGCTTTTTGCTAAGTCTGCCTTTACCTTACATACCCCAGTGAATTCTACGCTTCATTTTCATACTTTCTCCTGATTGGAAATCCTCTATCTCTACCCCTATTGACCACATTTAGATCTGAAAGCTCCCAGGATTGGAATCTTTGTGTCAGTCTCTATAAATGATCATTGTTCCAGATAGAGAAATGGAAACTTAATTCTATCCTTGATGTTTTTATGGCCTACTTAGAATCGATGAAAGCGATGACTTTAAATACTTTGTGTGTGTGTGTCTGTGTGTGTGTTTCTGTGTGTGTGTGGAATATTAGCCCTGAGCTAACATCCATTGCCAATGCTCCTCTTTTTGCTGAGGAAGATTGGCCCTGGGCTAACATCCGTGCCCATGTTCCTCTACTTCATATGGGATGCTGCCACAGCATGGCTTGACAGGTGGTGAATCGGTCCGCTCCTGGGATCCGAACCTGTGAACCCCAGGCCAACGAAGCGGAGCACACGAACTTAACCGCTACACCACCAGGCCGGCCCCAAATACTTTTTAATTCTGTCCCAGGGTGAGAGAGAAATTGTATATTTACCTGGGATATATTTTTATATTTCTACACATAGCTGAAACAAAAGTCCCACAAAACAATGCTTAACTTTGCTACATGTGAGTCACACTGACATTTTCTGTTGTGTTCCATTTATTTGTTAATGCTAGTCAAAATATACTAATGAGTTCCTATCTATCATTCTATTTGAAAAACACTTAGGGGACAGCAGGAGTTACCTTGGAACGGTCAGATTCCTTGCTGTTCTTATTTGCATGAAACTCGAGACTGAATTAAATAGCTTTTCAGAGAATAGCATAAATCTATTGATTCCCAATCAGCTCAAGATTTATGCTAATGATGTTTTTATTCTTAAAAGTCCTGAGAGGGGGGCCGGCCCGGTGGCGCAAGCGGTTAAGTGCGCGCGCTCCGCTGCGGCGGCCCGGGGTTCGCTGGTTCGGATCCCGGGCGCGCACCGACACACTGCTTGGCAAGCCATGCTGTGGCGGCCTCCCATATAAAGTGGAGGAAGATGGGCACAGATGTTAGCCCAGGGCCGTCTTCCTCGGCAAAAAAAGAGGAGGATTGGCATGGATGTTAGCACAGGGCTGATCTCCTCACAAAAAAAAAAAAAAGTCCTGAGAGCCAGATCTCAAGTCAGCTATACATAAGCACTCTGAAATGCCTTCAGTTTGGGACTCCAGTTACATGAGGTTATACAGTATAAATTTCTGGAACATAGAAATATAGTCTAGTGCAATTTGTACTTTGTATAACATGGCTTTATAAATTTCCTAATGTATCAATATTGGCCAGAGATGGATTATCACTATAAATTTTATTCTAGGCTAGATCTTGAGGGCTAGACACTTTTAGTTGCTTCATTTCTAGCATCTGATGGTAGTTACCTCAGTGACTCTTTTTGAGTAGAGTTGATTCCAAACATTTTATTTCTTATATTCAATATTTAATAACAAAGCCACATTACTTGTTCTTACATGATGTTCATCCCAAGACTGTCTTTGCTGTTTTGCTCAGTTCTCTGTGTTTCTTTGACCCAATTGAAATAAAGGGCATTTGGGAAGATAATGGTACTGTTTTTCATAGAGAGGCCTACTTTATAATATCAAATAGGTACTGTTTTTACATTTTAAAAAACAAAGAAGCAATTTATTATGGCAAATTTATGTTTATATTACTCACTTTACTATGACATGTTTTTAACTTAAGATCATAAGTAACATTAGATGAGACATTAATGTTTTATGTTTCTTCTAGGTTGTGCGCCATCTCCAGGTGCTTATGATGTTAAAACTTCAGAAGTATTGAAAGGACCAGTATCCTTTCAGAAATCACAAAGATTTAAAAAACCAAAAGGTAATGAATCCCAAAATAGAATAATGGTCATATGATCTCATAAGTTTTAAAGTTATGAGTAACAGTATTTAAATTTAAAGATGCAGTATAAATAACAGTATTTAAATTTAAAAGTATTTCTAAAAATGTGAAGCTACAGCTACATTTAAATTTTCTTATCGGATTGATAGATTTACAAAAGGGTCACCTACAGAATAATGCTTTCGTCATTGCAGTGTTGTATAACCAGGAAAATTAAGCAAGACACTCATGGAGATAGGTATTCTCCCTTTTAGTAATTACTTTAACCCTCTGTCAGGGACTATTAGGAAAATCAGGGAAGTGTTAGTTGTGTAAAAAATATTATGCAACTAATTATTTGGAAATGTACAATCAAGAAAAGAATAACTTTATATTGCTTCACTAATAGTTGCAATAAGAAATTTGGAAATTGTGTTTTGTCTGTGGTTCAGACATGTAAGCACCAACCATGATCTGTACAATTCATCTTATTGCAGAATCTCAACAAAATCTTAATGTTGACAAAGATACTACCTTGCCTACTTCAGCAAGAAAAGTTAAGACTTTGGGATTAAAGGTGAGGAGCTCTTATATTCTAGCTGGTTTATCAACTCACTTTGAAAACATTTCTGAAAGGTATTGTATTTGACTAGAATAAGTGTATAAATTAAGGTTATAAGTAAATCTTTAAATTAATAAAACATATCATCATTAGGACTTTAGTAAGATTTACCTTTCTGCCTACATCATTACTGAATATGTTGTGTTTAAATGTGCCCTTAGTTCAGAATTACAACATGGTCTGCACTTCTCAGTTATTCTTTTATCTAGATAAATTTTGTAATACCTAGTAAGCCTTTAAAAATTATGTGATGCTTTGATTTGTTATTTATCATCATTTGAGTTGTTTTGTTTTTGTTTGTTTATTTGTTTGTGGGGAAGGGTAAGTAATGGTGAATAAAAAGGAAAAAATATTCTAATGCCTAGAAGAGGTTTGCTACTCAGAAACTGCCAAGGAATCGTGGGAGATTAAATTCTTTTTTTTTTTTTTTTAAAGATTTTATTTATTTATTTTTCCCCCCAAAGCCCCAGTAGATAGTTGTATGTCATAGCTGCACATCCCTCTAGTTGCTGTATGTGGGACCCGGCCTCAGCATGGCCGGAGAAGCGGTGCGTCGGTGCGCGCCCGGGATGCGACCCCGGGCCGCCAGCAGCGGAGCGCGCGCACTTAACCGCCAAGCCACGGGGCCGGCCCGGGAGATTAAATTCTTAATAACTTCATATTATAGTTTGTGCAAGAGCCTACTGCTGTTAGTTTCCATTAGTTCATAAAAGCAAGATGTGCTCTCTTAAGGAGTTCCACAAGTTGATATTTTAATGTGAAAAAGTTTCAGAGTTGGGAAACCAAAGCTATAGGTTAAGCTTAGACTTGTTCGTTCATTTGGCAGTTACCTAAGTCTCTTGTCCTATAATTTAGAGTGATTTCCTACATGTGGTTATTGAGCACTTGAAATTGAGCACTGGAAACTGAAGAGCTAAATTTTTAATATTATTTAGTTTTAATTAATGTATATCTAAAAACTGATACTCAATTCTGTTGTTGGAAAAATTTTAAATATTTTTGGAACAACTTGGATATGTGAATCTACTTTTCCATTTGTATTTTTTATGAAATCTAAATATAGGTAGATATTTCTGATGAAAATTTAGCATCTGAATTGAGATATGCTATAAGTGTAAAATACAAAGTAAATTTTGAAGACCTAGTACAAAAAAATATAAAATATCTCACTAATAATTTCATACTAATTTTTATACTAATGACGTTGAAATAATATTTTTTATATATTGGGTTAAGTAAAATATATTATTAAAATTTTTACTTTTTAAATATGGCTACTAGAAAATTTGAAAATACATATATGACTTGCATTGTATTTTTATTGGGCAGTGCTCATATAGATACTCTTAGAAATTGATGTAAATTTCTTGACTTTAATCTCTTGGAGAAATAGTTCTGAAATTTTGAATTAATTGTAGAATTCTCAAAGCCTCTTAGAAAACTAAATTACATATAAAGTGTGTGTAAAATCCCAAAATAATACACCTTCCTTTTTAGAAAATGCCATCGAGTGGGAAATTAATAAACATGAGACTGGTATGGCCCTCCCCCAAATTAGAAACATGTAAAACAGATTTCATTCAAGATGTTTATGCATTTTCTTCCATTTTTAGATGGAAAAGATAGATATTCTGGTTTGAGCCATTCTCTCAGAAAGGCTGTTGGATATAAAAAGATGCAGTGTGAAAATTATATGTCTTATTTAGAGTAAAGTCAATGAGTACATTAGAATCAGCTTGTACTATATCAGTGTTTTGTTTTGTTTTTCTTTGCATGTGTATTTTTTTTCCTCTTTGGGTATCAAAGTTTAAGTTGATTTCTCTTTATAAGATTCTTTTTTTTCTGAGATGGCATAATTAAATGTTCAAAATGTATTTCTGTTTAACATTAGAAAGGAGGCAGTCATTAGCTTTATTCATAAAGCTCCACCTGTTCTTTTCACTGGACTTGTTAGAAAAAGCCTAATCTGTTGGCGTGAAAACTTTTAAACCTGAAATATTTTGAGATTTAAAGAATCTTTTCCTTCGTTTACCGGATAAGACACCTATAAAATGTTTAACAGACTCACTGAAATGAACTGTTTTGAATCCTTAGTCTTTTCTGGTAACTAAAAATCAAATTTGGCTATGATTTTTTTAGCCCTTAAATTTATCACTGTTCTTTGACTTTTAAATAGAAAGAATCTCAAAAGAATGATAAAGACTTGAAGATATTGGAAAAAGAGGTAAGCAATGCTTTCAACTTACTGAAAAACAAATGTGCCATATAATGGAAAGAGAGTTAAACAGAGAAGAGACAGGGATTCTGTCGCTGTTTGTGGAGTCATATAGTAAGGCAAATATGCCATCCAGACCAGTGCCTACAGGGTAACTATTCCCTGGCTTGGTTACCGTATGTCAGAGCCTGGTTGTCAGTGTGGTACACTGGCAAAGTCAAGTTTGTTAGCATACTAACAAACTTGGGGACAGATTTAAAATAACCCACTGCATGAAAAACTAATAACGAAAAATTAGTATGTTGGTTTATTACCGTTATGCATGGATCAAATATTTACATTTACTCATAGCACACATACTCTTCCTGTATGCTAATCTATATGTTAAGATAATGACTAGCTAGAGAATTGCTTGGTGAGCATGAAATCCTAGTAGGTTACTTGGATTGTGATGGAGTTGTGCTAACCTGATGCGTTCCTCTGTGCCGTAGGTGTGTGCCTTTCTCAAGGATAAAATGACCTAGAGTTACACTGTCCAGTCTGGCAGCCACTCACTACATGTGGCTATTTAAATTAAATAAAATTAAGAACCCAGTTCTTCAGTTGCACTAGTCACATTTCAAGTGCTCAATAGCCACATGTGGTGAGTGGCTACCATACTGGACAGTGCATTTGCACCATGGCAGAAATTTCTATTGAGCAGAGCTGACATAAAGAACCCACTTAGTACCCTAAGCAGTGCTAAGTTGGTCACTGCCAGCTTTGTTTCCATGTTTCTATTGGTGACCCACTCTTTCTGGTGGACATATTCTTTTTTTTTTTTTTTTTGGG